CTTGGTCAACGTTCGATGCGATTTGGGATATGTGCCGGACAATTGGCTGTATACATGTAGTAAGTTAAGAGCATCTTTCATCTATGCATGAATAAATGTATTAAATCGACACATTCAACGTACATTTATAGTTCGCTTGGATGTCTTTAATTGGTGTGCTACTATTTGTTTTATCAGCTGCTTGTTCTCGGGGGTCGTTTGAAGATAGAGACAAGGAGATTTGCGTCAGTTGTGCACGGGGTACCTATCAAGAACTTACAGCACAGACAGAATGCATATCATGTCCAGATGGAACGTCCACCATTGAAGAAGGAAGTCGAAATATTACAGCATGTATACGTCAGTATATGCCCTTGTTTATCACAAAATGCAATGTATTATGTGACAATATCTTCAGTTGTAAACAATAAGGGATTCATGCTTAAACATGTTAACTTCAGAGTGGCGTTCATTTACTAAACAAACTAAGGAAGTAATCGAGACTACTTTAATCCGCAGTATGCGAGGTTTTCGAGTATACACTATAATTTGAATACAGAAGAGTAGTAATACTGGTTGTATCGTATGTTTGTTTATGCAGCAAAATGTCAAGCTGGATTCTACTCTGAATCAGGCGTGATTACATGTAGTGCTTGTGATATCGGTTATTACCAACCCGCCACAGGTCAGACATCGTGCTTGCTATGTCCTATTGGAACAACGACAATAGACCGAGGAGCAGCATCCCTCGATCAATGCAAAGGTAGTTATTGCCAAGATTCATTAATGTGGTATTGACAGTCTGTCAATGTGAGTTATGCACAGGCGAGTTAGTACTTAATATGCGTTATAGCGCGTAATTCAATATATTTATTTTCGTCCAAGATGACCATCCTTTAGGTCAATCAAATGCGGCGACACATAGTTATGTAACAGTTTGTAATACTATATAAATATATTCACGTAGTGCCATGTGAGCCTGGATACTATTCTTCTGATGGGATGGAACCATGCAGTCCCTGTCCGAGAAGATATTATCAACCCAAATACCAACAACAACAATGTATTTTGTGCTCTGGTTCACTTACAACGATTGGAACTGGAACTGTTCTCAATACTGAATGTGTTGGTGAGTTGCAACTACATGGAACCTGAAAAAGAATTTAATAGAATTAGAAATTTATCTATAAAACACTTGCCGGTTTATATATATATATATCATGTTATATTACCTAAATGTGTTCGTATAAAAAGCAATATTAATGTTAATCTTATAATATTTCTATCGATCGAGTATAACGTGATGTAGCAGTGAATTTAAAACCTGGTTGATTATTTCTTTTAGATATCAATGAATGTGACAGTAATCCATGTCTAAATGGATCTGTCGCTTGTCATGACATGATTGACAGCTACATATGTATATGTGCTGATGGCTACACTGGTTCCAGGTGCGAAGTGAACATAGATGACTGTTTCTCTGCACCATGTCTGAATAATGGTACATGCGTGGATGGTGTTAATGGTTACTTTTGTGAGTGTAGCCTAGGATTCACTGGTATGTGTTAACAATATTGTGAATTACTGATCTAACCTGTGACAAGCTCGTACTTTACAATGAATGTAAATGTTATGTTATCACATACGTATAGTAACTGTAGTAGTGCGCCCTCTCTTGACAGAGAGTACTATTTCTGTTATGACCTATGACCCAATCTGTTGTTGGCAGTAGCCATTACTGTCAGTTTCACTGGATGTAGACCAGAGTTGTTTCAGCTGAATTAAATGAGTTCAAACATTCATGCTGTATCAATAATATAATAGTTAATACCTCATTACTATAATTTTATTTTGTAGGGTACAACTGTGAAGAGAATATCGACGAGTGTAGTTCCTCCCCATGTGCGCACGATTCGTTATGTACTGACTTCGTTAATGGGTTTCACTGTCATTGTCCATCTGCCTATTATGGAGATTTTTGTGAACATGAAACTGATTTTTGTGCCCAGGAACCTTGTCAGAATGGCGCCACCTGCGTTAACGGTGTAGATACATATTCATGTGTGTGTGTGGCAGGATTTACCGGAACCATCTGTGGAGTAAATATTGATGACTGTCGGACCAATCCATGTAAAAATAAGGGTGTATGCGTGGACGGTATTAATACTTACACGTGTCAGTGCCAACAAGGATTTACAGGTGAAGAATGCGAGAGTACATTAGACTTGTGTGTGAACAATCCGTGTTTGAATAATGGAACATGTGTAGTTTTAGGTCAGACAACTGCATGTTTTTGTCCACCTGACAAGGTCGGCGAGTTTTGCCAGAACGATATGGATCTGGATGGCCCATGTGAGAATGGCGGCACATATAAAAGAGTGAGGAGACAGATGGCATGTGCCTGCATTTCCGGGTATATGGGAAAATTCTGCCAATACAATATCGACGAGTGTTACTCATCTCCATGTGCAAATGGAGGTACATGTGAAGATGGTGTCAATTTCTTCGGGTGCATTTGTCCTCCTGGATATCAAGGTAACAATAATATTGATTCTACGCTATAATATATTTTTATATCACTTAAACAATCCACTAATTTGTTCTTCACTTACTCAATATACTTTCTTACTAGGAATTACTTGTACAGAGGAGATTGATGAATGTCAATCAAATCCGTGCGCTGGTGATTCAACCTGTATTGATCACATCAATTCGTACACATGCCACTGTCCTGGAGGATTAAAGGGAACAAACTGTGAAGAAAGTGAAAATGTTTGCAGTACAAACCCTTGTGGAGAGACAGGCAGTTGTATATTTGGTGACAATAGCGGCTTCATTTGTTCATGCACTCCAGGATATACTGGTTTGTTATTTACATATACATCGTTCGAGCTTTCGTTTGAGATTTAGCCGCGTTCATTATTTAGTTGCTTGTGACGTATGTATAAATTCTCCTTTTGCAGGTTTTGATTGTTCTGTTGATATTAATGAATGTGAGTCAATACCTTGTCTCCACGAGTCTACATGCATTGATACGATAAATGGATTTGAATGCCAGTGTGTAGATGGGTATACTGGAAATCATTGTGAAATAAATGTGAATGACTGTAATACTGAGTAAGTATATTAAACACATAGCAGTGCAGCTAAGCATGTAGTTGACAATTGCATCGTCATACCAGGGAACAACTTATAAAACCATTCTGTACTTGGATTTTTGGATAATGCCTCTATATTTTATAATTCATGAATTTTGTTAAGATTGCCACATTATTGGTCCGTGACCAGTATATCCCAATTTTTTTTATTTAACATTTCCCGTTTACCCCAACAACATTATGGAGAGACAAAAATATTATTTTGTTTTATTTTAATAGTTCGTGTAGGAATGGCGGTACTTGTATCGATGGCATCGGCTCCTTCATATGCATATGTGATGTTGGATACACTGGTTTGGGGTGTGCAGAAGTAATTGATTATTGTAATAGTGAACCTTGTCAAAATGGTGGAAATTGTATTAGTGGTCTAGGAGGTTATGGATGTGAGTGTATGCCAGATTATAGCGGAGCTAACTGTGAAAGTATTATTGATGAATGTTCTCACTACCCTTGTGCAAATGCTGAAAGCTGCATAGATGGTGTCGGTGACTACACATGTATTTGTAACCCTGGTTGGAGTGGTAAGAACTGTGACGTCACCATTGATGAATGCATGTCCTCCCCGTGTCTTAATGAAGCTCGTTGTAGCGACGCCATTAACGGATACCAGTGCTACTGTCGTCCTGGTTTCACTGGATTGCATTGTGAGATCGATATTGATGAGTGTGATTACGTCGATTGTCTTAACGGTGGTACATGTATTGACGGAATTGATGAATTCATATGTATCTGTACTGAGGGATATTTGGGTAAATTCTGTCAAATTAACAGTAACTTGTGCTCACCAAATCCGTGTTCCAATGGCGGTGTGTGTGTAGCTGCTACCAATGGATATTCGTGTAACTGCATTGACGGTTATGGAGGTGTATATTGTGAAGTTGACATAGACGACTGTGTTGATCACAATTGTGCTCATGGTGCAACCTGTATTGATAAGGTACGTAGCTATATATATATATTAACCAGTGAAAATTGAAATAGTGCAAATGAATTACATGTATCTGTATTAACTATCGGCAATATGTTATTATCGTTATTTCAGTTGAACCACTATATATGCTCCTGTCCTCCTGGCTATACCGGTAACATGTGTGCATCTAATATAAATGAATGTTACTCTTCTCCTTGTCTAAATGATGGTACTTGTGTGGACATTGTTAATGGTTACCAATGTACATGTATGCAAGGTAACACTAATAATAATAATAATAATAATAATAATAATATTTTCTTACATGGTAAATCAGTCTTATTTGGAAATACCATCATGCATTGATGCTATACATATAGTGTGTTTTCTGAAAACCGTACTATTGTTTACTAGGTTACATCGGTGTACACTGTGAAATAGACGAAGATAACTGTATTCCATACCCATGTGATAATGGTGCTGAGTGTGTTGACGAAATAGATGACTTCAACTGTTTATGTCCAACGGGATTCAGGTAAAATTCTCAATTATTTACGCATATAACAACTGCTAATTTAATTACATATCCGTTTTTAATCAGGTACTCTTTCTACAGCGGCAAACATTGCAGCAATAACATCGATGACTGTAGCAGTGAATCATGTGAAAACGGAGCTCTGTGTATTGATGGTGTCAACGAATTCATATGTGTGTGTACGCCTGGATACACAGGGACATACTGTGGAGAAGGTGAGTTGTGGTACATTTTTATTCAGAATGTGTAATGTGTGATATGATTCAATCTCCAAAAGCAATTGAGATTGGGCCAAGATACAAAGTTTGGTTTCTAATAAACACATGAATAAAGCTAAAATTGCCATTTTCCTTCAGCTTTGCCTACAGACTTCGACTTGGTATTCACAGAATCTGTTGAATCTGGCTATTGCACGGTTGACCTAGCTGACGGAAAGGACATTCGGTCGTGGACCTTGTCAATATGGGCCGTAATCGAATCATACCCGGGTACATATACCCTTGCAATAGAGTACACGCATAACGGTTATATAGTGTTTTCTGTCAATCTAACTGAAAGTGGCGTCCAGATTGCTATAAATGGGTGAGTTTGCATGTATGGAATTATAACATCTTTATTTTGTACGACATTTGTATTTAAGTAATCGAATTCATTCCCGAGGTGTTAAACGTAAATGAATTCTGATATCAGGGTCAGGCATTATACATACATGGAATTGGATGATGGTAAATGGCACAATATTGCTGTCACATGGCAAAGTGAAGGTGGTAATCTAGCTATATTCAAAGATGGGCATTTTGAGGACCACGTTGATGACTATCAGACTGGAGATAATTTACCTAGAGAAGGCGTATTGGTAATACGATCAATTGTACCAGGTACGAGTCAGAATTTGTTTACACGTACACAAACCAGTTTCCCTTTCATGACGACATTCCATTTATCACGATACGTTTCTCTCGTGTTATAAAATCGACTTTATTGTCGTTTACACGTTGTTGATAAGTCTGAGTGTGGCTACTTTATGGCGTAATAATCGATCAACTTCCAACGTCATTAGTAAAGTGAAAAATATACCTATATGCGTAATTTACTAACGCATAATGTATATTGAACAGGATTTCATGGCAGTATATCAGCCTTACATCTGTGGAATACAGTTTTGGATAATCATAAAATAGATGACATTGCAGTAAATTGCCGCCATGAACACCACGGTAATTTGATTTCCTGGGCAGAAATCCTAAACCATGTTGACGGAATTATAATAGAAGCCAGAGCCCCGTCTTTCTGCGACGGTACGTAACTGAGAATTTCGTTAAATGATGTTTTCGATTAAAAGTTTTCTCCTGCATTCACCAAACATGATGACTTATATTCACTGAATAATTATATATAATTGCTCTTAGATGTGGATGAGTGTGCCAGTAACCCATGCACACATGGAGGTGAATGCAATGACATGTTACATGCATTCAAATGCACCTGTCCGATTGAATATGCTGGAGTTACGTGCGATACCATGGTAGACTTCTGTGATGGGAATGCCTGTCAGAACGGTGGCACATGTGAAGTAGTTGGAACAAGTTACATATGTCGTTGTAGCAGTGATTTCAAAGGCGAAATGTGCGATGTAGGAATAGGTAAGCAAATGTATGTCTGTATATATAGTTGGGCAGTAACTGGCGCTTTTGGTAAAATGAGCTGAAGTTGGTACGTTGGTATATTTTCCATCCCGTTATTGAAATGCATGTATAACGCGTTTGTTTGTTTGTAAACCAAACGCACTTAAATACACGCATTTAACTAAAATATTGTCAACGCGAGCGTGATATTATGAGGTTATCGCCCAATATCGACGCTCGGCGTGATCGTATCGACGCGAGTGTCATGTGAACTGCATCACACGAGTGCTGGATACGTTCACAGTTTATTGATTCTGCTTTTGCGTACCCTGAGGTTGTTTTTACCCTATTTATCCCTTCTTTTCGATCATATTCTTCACTAAACTTGACAACTTGCTTTTTTTTATCATACAATTGACTATGATGTGTAGTTAATCTTCAAGTAGAGAGACTGTCCGTTGTGTTCATTTCGGTTGGTCGGTGGCTAGCAAACTCTTTGCACAGAAACGCCGGAAATGTATCATGGTTCTCTGGTGTAGAGAATATTTTTTTCCGGATAAAGTGACGAGGTGATGTGCCACCGTGTCCGGGTCTCGTTTTTGTGTCGCTCATTATATTCAAGATATTCAAGTCAATCAGAAGTCTACCTCAGCATTATATCACCCCAACGTAAATTCCAATTTCCTTGGCCGTATCTAAAACCAAAAACTTTCGTATTGTTAAGGATATAAGAAATCTGGTATCGCTCTCGTGATTATTCCCTCGTGTATAAATATATGTTTATGTTCCAGTGTGATCATCCATTCTTGAAACTGGTTCACTGCCGTGTTGGTGGAATGGGCGGTATTTTTTCGGTTGTTCGATGAAGTCATCAGCATCGCTTTTCTCATCAGCATCGGTTTGCTTGTATAGAACATGTCGTTGTTGTTTATAATCACTCTGGTGTTGATTAGACGCAAACCAGTTTTCATTACCAAAAGTTTCAGCCAGCCAGAGCAAACAGTTATGGCAACACGCCATCACTGGCTGCCATGATGAAATGACGTAAATTTGAACAGTTTTTTCTATGCGTAAGAATAAAGCAAGAAGTTAATCAGGGGAAAATACATGAACATTTGGAATATATATGAAAGTATGTTGCCTAATTATATCAGAGTTACAGGAAATAGAATATTTATATTAATGATTCTGTAGCTTTTTTTTGTTTTCGTTCCCTCAGTTAAAGATGAACGCTTTTTATGCCACTGGCGCTCGCAGTTGCCAAAATTCGCGGGAATTAGTAAATGGTGCAAAATAACTATTCGGTATATTTACCACATATTTATTTTCATATTTCACATGTGTGTTATATTTTGATGATTTATAACCCCAAATTTCACTATATTCTATTTATTTCATTTCGGAAATAACATTGTGACACTGGATTTAGCGTGGTGTTTTGATTGCAAGTCACCATTGCAAATAATTTATGTTGACGCGGAATGTTGTGACGTTTACCGCTCCAAATTGGCACGGTTATATTTCGTGTTAAACGTCATGTAATGAAACAATGCTTGCCATGGTTATATAAGAACAATTATTGTATGGTTAATGCATCGGACAATACCATAACGAATCTGAGCAATACGATAAGATATATATAATAAGATATATGATAAGAGTGTACATTTTTTAGTGAATGGTGGATGGGCGATATGGAACAGTTGGACCGAGTGTTCAGTTACATGCGGTGATGGTACGCGTTACCGCACAAGAAGCTGTGATAGTCCACCGCCATTAAATGGAGGCACTGAATGTCAAGGTCCAGCAAATGTAACAGAAATATGCAATGCAATACAATAGAGTGTCTAGGTAAGCAAGCACTTGAAATTGAACTTAACGTGAAATTATGATGAACCAGGATGCCCAACATTAAAAATGTCACAATATTATGAGGTTATTACGAGAATACCCCAAAGTATGCACGAAGACAGTACTAACAGCTAGAGTATCAACCGACGCGGAGCGGAGGTCGATGCGCGGCGTACTGTCCGAGTGCATACTTTGAGGTGTTCTCGTAATAACCTAAGTTATTATTATACATCTTTTCCTTCCAAGGATACAACATGGGAATGTCGAAATTCAAAATGTTTAGAAAAGAATCAGCGAACTTCTTTGTATGGAGTCCGGTCAAATTCTGGTGGCAGCCTTGTTTGTTTTTATCATTAGAGGACGCTTACGCTCGTAATCATTCCATATTTGGAATTCACATTTCCCGATATAGTAGGATGAAATACCCCGTAAAATACCGCAAAATTGCGGCACGCTGTAACTTATGGCGTTACGATGACAGATGTATAATAATAGTATATATTAGGCTTGATGATCTTTTTCTTCATGTTCACATTGCATATGCAGTATTATGTTGTACATGTTAAACTCAGTGTTGTATTAGGTTTGAACAGAAGTTTGGGCTTTTATAGACTTGTCGGTAATGGTTTATAGTTGTTTTTCACATTGAATAATTCTATGAATGGTAAACAACGCACCCGTGCTCATGTTTCCAGTGAAGCTGATCAAAGCATTGGAATTAGCCCTAAATGTTTTAAATACAGTACAACACGTGGTATAGTTCTTACAAATACCCTACCGGCAATTGTAAAACGTAATTGCATCATTGGCGTCCCGTAGTGCTGGCGCAAGTTCCCGGACTTTATACACAATACACGTCATGTGGCGATCGTATCCGTCGTATGTGTAGAGTTCAATTGACCAAACGTGGTATAATCAGTGTGACGACAATGTTTCTTTTGTACTTATCTAGTCTGCTCTTCACTGCGTGCACCACACAATGGTTTCTTGGACTGCAATGAGACTGATGATGAAACTGAGTGTCGGATATGGTGTCAAGATGGTTATGCATTTGGAGAAATCAAGCAGGACATATATCGCTGTGGAGCAAATTCTAGCTGGAAATGGAATCATGAAAATATAGACAATCCCACAGCCAAATTACCAGACTGTTTAGGTATTATAAAAATAAACTATGTTAAACTGTTTGATTTCTAATTACTATTGATTACTAATAATATTGAAAATGCTGACGTGTGTTTATTTATGTTTCTAGAAATAAAGAGACCAAAAGCAATAAAGGCTTCCTTTGAAATTGTTTATCCGAGCATGGCATGTACGTCACCGGATGAAAACACCGAGATCATAGCCTTTGTTGAAGAAAGAGTCGAACGTATCGAAGACAATATCACTTGTATGAGAAATGGCGAATGCAGCGTTGAAAACATACAGGTATGTAACGACGTATAACACATACAATACAGTGAAGTCAAATACTTTTAAATGGTTTATTCTCAACCACCAAAAATGTTTTTTTTTTGTCTTCTTTGTGTAATTTTCACTGTACTGATATTCACAAACTATAATTTGTAGTCAGGTAACAACTAACTGTAATACGTACATTCGTCCCAATTATCCAATTATTCCATTTAGCAAGAGGTGCGGCCATCACACACACATAAACTGTTTTTTTATAGGATATAATGAGCTTGTGGTTAAATACGACTACATTGTTACACAGATAATCTCAGATGGCATGAATTTCACTTGGCCAATGTATACAAATCATTTTATTGTGAACCACAATAAATATGTTAGGTGTCACATGTGTGCCATGTTCTTACTAATTTTACTATGTATTGTCGTGGACATGTCGGTTGTGTTATTTTGTTGTGTTGGATTATTTGGTCCATTGTTGTCAGTCATTTTATGTGTGTTATTAGACTCACATTTGTCATTTGGTTGGTCATTTGCAGTTTGTCATGTCCGGTAAGGTTTTATGTCGATGAAGACCCACACGTAGAATGCAACCACTGACTGGAAGGCACCAAAACCAATTGGCGTGACGCTATGAATATTAGTAAATATTATGGTAAAGACATGAGGTTGCCTGAAAAACATTACGACCAATTAGAATATCTGACCAGAATACAAATTAACTTCTGAATTCGAACCCTCATACAACAATTGCACAGACAGTACAACTACACCACAGAATATATTCCACTGTTTTCAGAATTGTTTTCATAACATAATGCACGCCATTGTGACACCTATAAATACAATATCTAGCAAAACACATCTTGATTTAGGTCTCCTGTTTTTTTCTTGGTTCACGTGAATGTTTATCTAGGGTGATCACTGTTTTTCATATGTCCCGTATGTGCCACTCCGTTATATATGACCACTCCCACGTTTTCTTATGTTGTGTTGTGTTGAAATGTCTTACTCGTGTGTCACCTCATGACCTAGTTTCAACCATACGGCCATGTTTCAAGTGCGTGACCTCTTGCGCATGCGTTACTCCACGACTATATGGTCGTTTTGTTTAATATGCTAGTATTTATTGCCGTTATCATTTTTATATTATCGCGTGATTTGTTGGACCTTATTTGTAATGTATCGTTAATATAATTTGCATATACCAATTTATATATGCCGAGCAAACGACCCCGATTGAAGGTCATGTATTTTGTGACGTCACCAACGTGTGTAGGTACTAGACATTTAGCCAACGGTACAACAATATTTCTGACCCCTAATTTCTGGGTTACGGTCTTCAGAAGCAGTATAACAATATTGCTAGCATAACAGTTTTGTATTTTGCAATGTTGTCGCTATATTCTTTCTTGCTACGAAAGTGACAGCCATCATACAAACACGTTTCTCAAAGTGCTGAACTGGTGATGAATGGCCGCAGCGTAAAACATGTTCCTTTGGATCCACATTTGAGCGTTTTTTAAACACCATTTTTAAATAAAATGAGCCCCTGCGAAAAGTCCGATATTCAGTTACTAGGCTACAGCAGCAGCATTTTTCTATTTGTTTTATTTATTCTTCTTATTGTTTCTATGGTTTTCTTTTTCTATTTATTATTTTGCTCATTGATTGTTTTCTTTACCTTTTCTAATTTTGGCGGGTTGGTTGCATCATCTTCTCATGGCTATACCAATACTATCATTGTGGCCAACGAGCAAGTTAGATTATCTCCAATGAACGGTGTACGACATAGGTTCAACAATCTACTTGAATTAGAGCAAAATGCAATCATTAACTGTTATCTCGCAGTATATAGTAGAAAATGAATATTTATATTATTTAAATATTTCAGGTAAACACATGCAACACAGTTGAGAACAGTGAACAAGATGTGACGGAAGAAGGTGGCTCCATTGTGCTCACAGTTTTACAGGGAATCGACACACAGGGAGGCATGTACTGTAGTACTATGTCGTCTTTTAGTTGCAGTATATGTTTAAATATTCCGATGTAATATGTTGCTGAGTTATTCAGCATACGATTATTGTATTTATTTTTTTCTATTTTCATTTACAGTACATGCAAACACTAACCCATCAAGACGTAAAAGGGCTGATTCAAGTTCTTACGACTATGCCCTGGATAGCATGTGGAAGACGGATAGTGAATTGTTCACTGCCCTCAACATGCTTAATGATGCCGGCCTATGTGCACTTAATATAGGAGGTCAACAATTTGCACCAGATGTGAACGCATCACAGGGCGAAATTCAGGATGTATGTCAGCCTGGTGCAAGGCCACTGGGAAACAATATTTGTGGTAAGAATTGAAGGCACTAATAAGTATCAATATCTGTTTTTGTTGACTGTGAAATCAGAATTCATCTCTAAAAATCGAAATGATGTCACTCTGTATATTATTTATCACGCACCAGCATCACAATTTTAGTTTTACATAAATCTTGAAAACGTCAACAAATTTAATAGAGGAAAATCCCAATGCATCACGTGATACCATTAGCTGAATACTTAAAACCTTGGACGTGAAATTGCACCGTTGTCTTTTCAAGTTATTTAATTCACACTTGACAATTTAATTTCTTTTTGTAGTGTCTTGTGGAATCGGTACCTACCTGACACAGCCAGAAGGTTGGACATTACCAGTTTGTTTGTCATGTCCAGTGGGTCACTATGCCGATGAAGAGTCACAGATTGAATGTAAAACCTGTCCGGAAAGTAGCACAACTGATGGACGTGGTGCTATAAATATTAGTGATTGTTATGGTAAGACAATAAGGTTGCTTTTACAATTGTTACGTCCATTCTGAGATTACAGATTGATATTGCCATATGTATTTTGGAGCTTACAGACGACCTAGGTAAATATGGACAGCCATGTTACCCATGATTAGTATTAATCGTGGTGTACAATTCACTCTCATTAATGATAACTGTAGGAATTATTCAATAAAAAAATAGGCTCATGTTGGTGAAAACTGATGGTCGTCGTGAACCGTCTTGTTTGATACTATTAAACTGCCAGTACAATACACGTTACTTGAAAGCATGCTAATTCTAATTGTATTAGTAATGTTACTGTCGTATTACTCTACAAACTGTTACTGATAACAACCACTAAACATTTCACTTCCCTCATTGTCTGACTTTTTTATATTTTTAATGAGTTAATGTTCAAATGATATTACACGTTCTACAAATTGCGTACATATAAACATGCAACATCCCATGCAACTCACGACCATGGCAAAGCCTCTCGTCACTATAGGCGGACGCGCACTTCATTACGATATTCTAATTATCTCAAAAAGCCAGCTGGGCACAGCGTGTAACGAATGTAGCCCCTCATTGACGAGATGGGTATGCGAAAGCCGAATCTCCTACGTCACAGAAAACAAGGACTTGTATATAACACTTACAGATATGGAAAATTATACTAGACATTAACCATGCACAAATCATTACTATATGGGAATATATAATTTATAACACTACCTGTGAAGTATACCTATAGGTAGTGGAATGTTTTCCGAACATTAACGTATTACAAAACATTTTTTTATTGCAGCTCTGTCCACCGATGAGACACCTACAGTAACCCAGGAATCATCCACAATATACGAACCGTCAGACCCATCTAATCGTACAGTAATGGTGATTGCGATAGTGGCTGTTATACTCTCTATCACTTCAATTGTGATTATAGTATGGTTCGTTCTTAGGTGCGTGGTATTACATCACATACATGATTTTAAAATATTACAAAATTAGCCTGCGCCAAAATATAGGTAGGTCAATAATGTACATTTATGTAATGTGTTATAATAATTCAGAAGTACTTTTTTTCCCATTTAGATCAAAGGGTTATTGCAAGCGCGGTTCAAATGTAGATGCAAAGCTACTCGAAGACGATACTCGCCCCTATACACCGATCAGCATGTCTGCATTTGGTGTGGACCTACCAATGGGAGAGTTTTACGTAGAAGAACCCCCTCCACCATACGCTGATAAAGAAGCTGCTTATGGTGCCTCAACTTGATGTTTTGTCAGATATGCAAATGTGTGGTTTAAATATGATAACTAAATATTCAGTGTTTGTGATGTTGCTATTTAATCAATACCCCCCCCCCCCTCCGTCGAAGGTGGGTATACCACGAGATATTCAATATCAAGTGGTATACCAAATTTCGGTGGTATGGGGTTATTGCTATTATATTATATTATACCAGTTTACTGACAATCCGATAAAACTAGTAATAAAAACTTTACTTGCATCTACTATAAGATCATGATTATGGCTCTTGGACATGAATTTTTATAAGAATAGTATGTAGTTGTTCACTAAATGAATACAAAAAATACACACGCAATACAATTCAAATTAAATACAAACAAATTTTTATACGCGTGAAAACGAAACGTATCCACAGTGAATAGAGCAGCGTAAACACAAAATTTAGCATAACAAAAGATGACCTTCCTGACATGTTACTGACTGCGTCAACAGCATTTGGAATACAGGGTCGTGTACAATTTGAATCATTAAAACAACGGATTTTCCACGTTTTCATTCCGGTTTTTGTACAATTTGAACTGGTATAGGCTCATTGAAAGTACAGTTGTGAAATAAACCGGTTTTGTGACTCATCATACTTGTAACTGTGGATATTTGACGTTCAGTGGTACTTGGTTCGACCGTTTGAGTTTCAGAAGTTTGAGACAAGGCGGGACGCGGTTGTGTATCATGTACGGTGACAGGCACGGCGACCTCAGTCCCTACGTCATCTGACCTTTTTGTGACAGTATGTCTGACAAGTTTTGTCGTTGTTCTGAGGTAATAAGTTTGTTGGTGTAAGATCGTCGCATCGTTAGTGTGACACGTACTTGATATGCCTCAACTCCGGCTAGAATTCGAACGCCGCTAAGGGACACCGGTTGTTATTAGTGGCATATATTTTTGCCTGTTACTTGTAGTTGAATTTTTTGCCCTTCAATCTCTCAATCTCATCTAGTTGGTCACCAGTTAAACTCAAAGATCATGTTTTCTTTGTTGGAGGTTCGCAATCCATTTCAAAGTCACAACACCGAGAACACAACGTTCTGGCGCTCGTTTAGGCACCGTTCCTTGCGGTGTTGAGTGAGGGTGGTTTAGGTTTGTGTGGCGAACGACGATTACCCAACGACCGACACTCACAACTTGGATCCCGCCATTAACAAAAAGCAATATTATGGTATATATGTTTTCAGATGTTTTTAATTCGGTATTTTTTTCCAAAATTCAATCACTATGTTTACCTAAAAATCAAATAATACCGGTTTTATGTATTTCCGCATTAAAATGTAATCAATTCATGTTCCAGAGCCACTTTGTTTAGCTGTGCATTATCAGCCAATATACCATTAATTGCATATGCAAATTTGGTGTTGGACCATCAATATACTGGTATAATGAGTTATACATATGATAGGGAAATTGCACATTCTAATTGTGGTTTATTGTACATATGTTCAGCTAGCCAAATATTAAAAAAAAAAGTTTTAATTTGCTCTTTTGAGATATTACCTTTTGAATTAAAATCTTAGTTTTTCTTTCAATTTATGCTTTGTTTTCATAGTACATTCACCCTGCTTTAAAAACTAATTATGTGATGGGAGCATAACATTGACTTGCTCACCTACAGTGTTACAGGTCTGTGATATGTTCTCACCCACTGACCATTTTTGTGTGTTTTCTTTTGTTAAATATTGCTGTATGCTTAGTATAGTTGTGTTGGTGAGATTCACTATTTTTTTTCTTTACACATCGTCATTAGGGTTATTTATTATCATCATACATCATATTGGTTCCGTCCTATATAATCTGAAAAAGTAATATAACGTTTTCACTTACGAATGTAACCACTGTTTTACCCCTATGTTTTACATACACATTAATTATAACAGTGTGTTAAACATCTTCAGTGTGAAAAAAATACAATTCAAATATGATAATGCATTCTTTTTTGTCGTTCGTTTTACAAAATTTATACAAATAAATGTTACATACAAAACAATTGTGACAGTTATTTATTAATTCCATTTTTATTTGTTTTTTGTTCACTTGCCTGGCGCAAATCAACGTAATTCTGTCCGGTGTCAATTTCCACTCGCCTAAGGCGGTATTATTTCAAAATAGCGTATCAAATGGGTTTAAAGCAGGCGGAAGTTAGTTACATACACCTAACTCCCGCACCCCGTAGGCAATTACTGAGGGACTTTGCATCATCCCCAGACACTTTCCTGGACACTCTAGTCAGTGACCATAGTAGACGCAATAAAGTAACATACCCATTTACACGACAGTAATTGAAAACAACGGGACAGGGTTTCAGAATGGTTCAACTACTAGTATTACAACTTGTAAAGACCCAGTCAAATAATGTTGTATTCATTGTTGTTATCTGGCACTTGATTAGTTCATGCGCACATATCATCGTTCATTAAATAAATTCTATTTTGAACGTTTCACGAATATAATAAAACTCGTTTATTATTTAAAGATTTAAATGTATTTGTGTTTAGAAATTAAATGTAATAGCGCCCTCCAGGTGTCTTGTTAAATGTGGTTTGGATCATTGCTTTCTTTTCCCATAATGCTTTGCGTATAGAAAGCTATTGATTTTCCTTCACTTTGTTTTGAAGTCGACCTGTACATTTTTTTGCGATTAATGGTGCCATTTAGCAGTTCTGATTCGTTTGTTACGTCCAAGATGCTTCAAGTTCATGCGGAGAGTGAACACGCATGCCCTCCCTCTAATTTCTAGGGGATTGGCCGGATATTCATGCCGTTATGTTATGTACAGCAATCTATGCACTTTAAGATTACTTAATTAATAATGTATCATTTTTGACCTGGTAGATTTTAACTGATATACTATTGCATAACAATTATATATATTCAATTTCAATGAGTTTGTGTTGTTTTCTCGAATTTTCACCGGCTCCACCGGCGTTCCACAGCAGCGCGCACAAAGCCCATAGAATACGTGGTACAGTAGCAACGTGGAACGTCTGTGGCGTAGCTCCGCCCCCGAGGATAGGCAAAGTATATTTAAGTGCGCCCTCTCTGGCAATACTAGAGTTATTTTCGTCAATGCATTGTTCAGTGAAATTGCTCGTAACGGAAAAATGTACATTTAGAAGATTGAGCTGACATTTCATAAGGCTAAAGTCCAACTAATTACATGATCAATGCAATCTATTAATTTGTTCCCCTCTTTTTCACTATACTACATTAACAAAACACAGCTATGAAATATGGCTATCGTGAAACGATCGCCAAGACAACGCTACTTTTGTTTATAACCAACCAGTTGTCATATGTTACGCCACTACTGATTGGGCGTATGCTTTAGAGACCCTTCCAATAAGATTCATGCATCGAGGGAAAATACGCGACTTTTTAGTAGAATCACGCACGGTTTCGTATGTTAACAACGAGCTCGTGAATGTTAGTAGGTAGTCATAGCCCTTGTTAATTACTCAATAGAATCAGACAAGCATTCTTTTGTTCGAAAAACATTGTTATATTGATTAATTGTCGGGAACCGTAATAAACTACTCCCATTGTCTATGTATTGTATTTATCGATCGAAAGCCTTTTATTCATAACAATAATAATTGTAGTATATATTCTGTTCATGAAAAGAATTGTGTTTACCATACTAGACCTAACCATTTTTTCAGGTTACACAAGAATGTCTAAGTGTGTGCCATCACCCACTCTACGATAGTGATGAATGTGTTGCCAGGCAAGAAGATAATGACTTCCAGATATAACCCCAGAAGTAGAAGACGTATCTTAAACTATTGTAATAGCATTACAAATTCAACCGTACAAATACAAATTCAACCGTAAGAGTAAACCAGTCTGGAAATATAAAACCAAAATATGTTGCTCCACTTTACTTTTTAAATAATTTTGATTTGCATTATTTAACTCAAAGACAATAAAAGACTAAGGTATAAGCAGTGAATTTTTGATGTTCTGCTTTTTTTGCACAAAAACTATTTCCCCGTACATTTCTCGTAGTGTCAAACATTGTCAATTACATCCCCCTCAACACATATTTGCCACTTTTTAGTCTCTGTTCAAGCTGTTCAAGTCTGTAAACGAGGACTTCATATTTGACTGCCATCAATCCAATCATTTATCCCCGCCGATCACGATTAAACTCTTTTTGTTTTACAGATCAAATTTAAATTGGCTGATAGATGGTCATTTTGTTTTATTGATTGTTGTTTCAGAGGTCATATTTTTGACATGCATTGACTGATTGCAATCAATCATAAATTATGGCATACATATTAACATGCATTTGCTTTCAGTTCTGATTCAAAATGGTTTCGTTTGTTTGTGCAACGAGAATGCTGTGATGTCATTACATCAATTTTATTTTATTCCCAAGTTGCAAAGATTTCAGGACCCCCCCCCCCCAATTTCCATAAATCTATCGGAAAGTTTGACCAAGTACACACTTATTGCGCATTCCATAGAATAATTGGTTTCACACCAATTTTTATACCAGTTCATTTTGAATGATTTGATACATTTCTATATTCTCAATTCATCGTCTTAAACCAAGGCATCTGGAATTTGGGTTACAACGTTCAGTCGTCTGCTTTGTTCCGTTATATTGTGTTTATAAACCTTTTTCGTCTTTTGTTTATTGATGGATTGATCTCCCCCCCCCCCCCCATGTGTGTGCAATGTAAATATTTCACTCATGCTTGGACTAATAAAGTCCAAATTCACACATCAGACCAATCTGATTAAAATGAGATCCTGGTTGGGTTATTTTTTTTTTTTTTTATAAAATTACTATATTTCAATTCATTTTAATGATTTACTATAATTATTATTTATTTTAATTATTTTTTGACGTTACAATTTCTCTGCAAGTATGCGGCTGATCTGCACTGGCTCGGAAGATGAATTCTGATTGGCTAAAAAACAAAAAAACTTGTGGCGTTGAATGCACGTTCATTGTCAGTATTGTA